CCATACATTAAGCTGAAAAATACATTACAAAAGGAAATGGCAGCATTTCTGTGAGCGATTTCCCTGGCCTTACTTACTGCACTGCAACAGGGCACTGGAGCATATTTTCAGTTTTTCCATTCTGAAATGTTCTTGGCGCTGGATTTTACTGTACAAAGTCTGAGTTCATCCTGCAGCCTGGACACTGTGGACTCCCGACTGCAGGGGCAAGGCAGCTGACAAAGCAGAGAACTAGAAGAGCAAAATGGGAAGCTTTTTAAACACCCTCAAAATAAAACACCTCCAAAACTGTTACGGAGCAACACAAAATTGATCCTTAAAAGGCCACTTTTATATTTTCTTGCTACTTTTGATTCTGCACGTAGGTATGCTACATTACAAGCATAGACACAAACACCATGGCAGTCAAACACGTTTGGCAGAGAAAAATGCCAGAAATAAAGACAAGTTGTTATGCTGCAGTTACGTTTTAAGAAAAGCTAGGAAATTAGCACTTCCATAAGCAAACTTTTATGTTTAGGAGAGAACAGAATTAAAACAAAAAGTGACCGGAGGAAAGGATAGAGGTGTATATTATTTTAATAACGTATTGAAATACAAAAAAAGATAGAACTCTGCTTATATGGCACTAGCATAACCAAACTGGAAATAAAGCCCAGCAGGTCTAGTTCCTCCTAAACAACAGGACTGGTCACAAAACAAAATCCAAAGACTGTAGCAAAAATTTACATTAGAATTTGTCATAGCAATTAACTCTGGCTTAGAAACATCTCATTTGAAATATCTGACCACATAAATATTTAAAGTATATTAACCAGCTGAATACAAACATCAGTTCAACAATAAGAGTAATATCTTGGCATACCCAGCATCAAATAAATCCTAAAGTGCAAAAAGTTAATGATTTAATGCAGTTTTGTTAGTTGTATATTAGTTCCTAGATGTAACCCAGCTCTATCATCTCCTAACGTGACTTCTGGTCTGATAAACTGCAATACTTTTTAAATGTGCAAGCTTTTGGAAAATTCCTTTTTTGGCCTTAAAACAGAGCTGTGAACATGCTATAGAAACCAAAACCAGACACCTACCCAAAAAAAGATCCTTAAAGTGCATAATACGTCTTTTCACATAATT